GGCCTTGAAACAACAGAAAATATAAAGGAAACCAAAGGTGGATTCCCTTGAGTGAATTACTTTTCACTGACATACGGTTTTCTATAGTATGTAGTCTTCCCTAGCTAGATAGATGGAAACAAGCCATATAGAGGAAGATGTGAACAAGAAGGTGAAAAAAAAGTTTATATCAGCTGTTACTTACAGAGCGAGCTAATTCTTGTCCCAGTGAAACCCATGCTATTCCTGTAAACTTTGTTGGACAAAGACTTGGTTCACTGAGTGTAGTTCTGGCTCCTTAACCATGCCAGTTCTTCAAAGGTGGTAAAACCAGCCTGTGAAGCAGGAAGAATTTTTGTTTTAGGGATATTTAAAACTAGGACTTCTTATAATGACAGCAGTGGAGAGAAGGGTTCAGAGAAGAGAATGGATTTGAGGGGGAAGAAAGAAGTGTGAAGCCATGAATCAAAAAGAAAGAAAAAAAAAAGGGGAATTTGTTTTTTGCTGTAAGACAGTGTTATTCCAGGTGAGAGCCTGTGATACATGATTTCTGGATGATGTTTGAGAGCTAGGGGAGAGAAACAGCATAAGGATGGCCGTACTGTTTCAGGGCATAGTTCTTTCTAGCCTAGATTCCTATCTTTCAGACTTACTGCTTGGTGGTGTATTTGTTCCCCCATGGAAACAAGCAAACATGTCACAGCGGAGTAGAGCGCCTCTGGGCTTCTAAATCCAAGCCACAATTCTGGTGACTGAAGTTGCCAAGTTATGGAACAGCAGCTTCTCTCTGAGAGTCTCCCTCTGAGAGTCTCCCTGAGGAGAAAGTGGAGAAGTGGGGATGTGTCAGGGAGAGACGGAAAAAACTTTTCATAACTTAGTAGAAGAAAGTTTTTTAATGTGTCCTGCTTTTTGGAAGAAGCAATATTGCTTCATTTTACAACTTGGCTTACAACCTCTCATGAACAAGAACATCCAACTTCAGCCCTGAGTTAAGATAAAATATGGCAGCAGGATGCGGGGGAGAGCAGCAAATGAGAACATGCGATACAAAACCGAAGTTGCACCATAACTTGATTGTAACTCCGTTCTGCTTGTTTGGTATGTGCATTTATATTCCCATGCTTAAAAATTCAGTTTTATTGTGTGCTAAACTGTTTTCATCAGCCCTACAAAGTGATTCAGAGAGGTAAAGGAGGAGTGGGTAGTGTAGCAGGACAGGGAGACAGGTAAAAGAGGCTTGTGTAGACAGGAAGTGAGAAGATTGCTTCTGCAATTGTAGCAGCGTGATAGAGTAAGCAGACAGGTAAATCACATGGCAACATTAGCAAATTGGCAAGAGAATCAGTGAGCAGTTTCTGGAGGATGCAGACTATCAGGCAAAACTAAGTTGGCAACAGAAAACTGAGAGTAATTTAGAGGAGTAGATTAGAGGCCATAAAGGTGACCTGCAGGACAACCTTTTTTAGGGAAAAAATATCTGTGTAGTCATTTCTGTCTGAAAAACCTTAGTTCATCGAAGCTTTCTTTGTACAGCAAACCATTCCATACCATTGATTGCTCTCTCTCCTCTTTGATTTTTTTCCTAATTCTAATAGTTTAGTTTCTTTTTCAAATACAGCCTAAAACTGTACACAGTACTGAAGACTAGTGTGCTGGGTATTTGTAAAAAAGCATCATGATGTTTTTAATTTTTACTCTCTGTCCATTTCCTTTTAATTACTAGCATTTGCTTATGGTGGGATTTTGGTGGTGTTTCACTGAGCACTAGGATATTTTCATAATTGCCCTAGTATTTAGAGGTAACTTGAAGATCTCTTTCCTCACTGGCAGTAGCTTTTCCACTTATTGTGTTCACATAATTTAGCCTGATTTTTTCTGTTTGGTTGCTCTGCAAGTTTTTAGCCTGATTTTTTCTGTTTGGTTGCTCTGCAAGTTTTTAGCAAGGCAAGGTTTGTAGGGAGAAAATGAAAATGTGCTAACAAAGAAACTAGTGGGAAAAAACCCAGTATTATTACCAGCTCTCTCGTGCTATATGCTTTGTTTTAACATAGTTTCTGAATAAATTGTAATAGTAGGTTTTTTTTCCTAGCTCATTTACCATTAAAATATATTTTGTAAAGGTAAAACTGTATTTTGAAAGAATTTTGAGATTGTGATTAGTGATTTTAAAAACTGCTCCCCCTAAACCCAGAAAACCATGAAGAGTGACTCATATTTTCACTGTATGTGTATACAGACTTGTTTAAAGTAGGGTTCTTTCTGCAGTAGCCTATTGGGATTCTGCTCTGGCTTATAAAACTTCATATTCAAGGGATTTGCTTTGCGGAATCAGTCTTACCTGGTGCCTCAGTTTGCTGCATAAAGAGAACATTTTCTGCCTTCCTTCTCATGACTGTACATCGTAACGTACAGTACTTCAGCTTTTCCCTTTTCTGAGAGGCTGTGGCATCTCCATCCTTGGGGGCTTAAAAGGTTCAGCTTTTCAGACAAATCCAAGGCTGCCATGGTCTAGTATTGAGAGGTGGTCCAGCTCTGAGCAGGAGGTTCTATTAGATGACCTCCAGAGGTCCCTTCCAACCCCCATTTGTGTGGTTCACTCTGCTGTGGCTTTATCTCTGTTGCTGTACTGATTCACCACAGACTTGTTTCAAGATACCTTGAAGGAAATTACAAGCTGTCAGACGTGCAGATCTGACAAAGAGGGGGGTATGAAATAAGAGTTGAAAATCTGTCTTGGTCCAGCATAACAAATTCTGTGTATTATCCAACAGTATATTTTCATATTGACTTAGAGAAGTTGCTTGTAGCCTAAATTATGTGATTTTTCTATTGTTGTTTTTCTTGGTTAGCCCTCTTTTTGGGGATTGCTTTAGCAGGTGATAACTGTTGCAAATCTATAGATTATTGTAATTAGTATGTTAGGTTTGTATTGCCCAATGGGCATCAAATTCTGCTGCTGTGAAAAACACGAGTTTAATATAAAGATGTCTAAATTGATTTTTGTTTAATAATATTCTTGTTTGATTACTGTATACTTGTCATGTACTAAATTTTGTTTATTTTATTATATTTTTAATGATGGTATTTTCCTTATCGTATGAGAGATAGAAGCCTTTAATTTTATTTTGAGTCCTCTAGTCTCTACTTAGGGCTTGGTCCTTTGAAATGCTCCCAGTATTGCATTTGGTGTGTACAGGTTCATCCCTCGACGTCCAGAACTGTTAATCTGCACAATGTCCTATATTAAGCAGGATCTTGCTTGATGCATTGTATTTTTTCTTTAAAGTTATGCTTTTTCAATCAGTACATAACACCTCTTAATATTAGCATTATTATTTAACCTGTTTTCATACCGGGTAGAGTTGAATCAATGTTTGCATTGTCTGGGAAGCAGTGATTTTTTAATTTTCTTTTTCCATGCAAAAGTGCTGTAAGCTAGCTATTAGTCGTGCATTTCTTGTGTTTTCAGCAAAAGCTTCAACACGTGCTGACTTCTGTGACCACATTGCATGTGACTTGGGACCTGTTGAAGTTACATTTTCGGGCCTAATTTTGTTCTAAGCTCTGTTTACTCAACTTCCTCTGTGTTCATATTAACAACAGTGAGACTTGGGTGCTATTATTGAGAGAATCTGGTTAGTTTGGAATAGGTTTGGTTATAGCATGCTGACCTGTGTGATTTACCCCCACACTTTTTAACTTCTATGCATTTTTTGTAAAACTGAAAAAGGTATTTACTTTCTCCTTGTGTGCTCATTAGAGAAGACCAGTATTAATTTCAGAACAGTCAATCTCAAGTTAAAATGCTTTAAAACATATTCAAGTCCTCGCTGTGAAAGTTTACACTCTGACAGTGTCATCAAAGGTATGGTGAAGCCTGCACAACTAGCTAGAAATCTGTTTAATCTTGTTATGTGTTCTCCATCACCAAACATGCACAGAAGCCTGAATTTTGCTACAGATGTGTTGTTATTGGTCTTCTTGCATCAGCTGGTTACCTAAGGAACTGAGCTGCTTTACAGTAAATATTAATCCTTTCAGGGCATGCAAATAATAAATTTACCAGAAACAGTTATCTGCTACTGGTATTGCTGATAAAGTAATCATAGTACTTGTAAGCCTGTTCCTGGATACCTAGGTAGGGATCAAAAAATGGCAAACAGTTCTGAAAAGGGGTTGGTAAATATTTTAAATATCTCTGGTGATTAAAAAGTATCTTGAAGAGGCTATTAAACTCTTAAGCTGTGTTTGCATTACTCTTGCAAATAGACATTTTTGTTTCTTGTAAGTGCCTTTTTGCAGTAAATAGTGAATTCTAAACTTACAAAAACAAGGTAAAGGAAGGCAAAAATTCTGATGTATTTAATAATAATAATGAACTGAAATGTTACTTAGTCACTAATTTCTTATTGATATGATTGTTAAATATTTGTCAAAAGAAGCTTTATGACAGCTGTTTGTTTTACAGATTTTTCTCTAATATGAAGAATTTTAATTAAGAAAGAAATACAGTTCAGTTTTGCCCTTTTATTCTTGTAGTTCAAAGGCCCTGTACTGAGCTCCATCATTCTTTTGGCTGAAATAGGATTGACCTGGCTTTTTCTGTAGTTAGTTAGTATTGCCTGGTATTGGTTCTGGATTCAAGATTACAAATCTGGGCATAGCTGAATGAGCTGTTAGCTCAAATACTGAAAATGGCCAGTTTTGTTAAGTATTTTCAGGAACGAACACTAAACAAGCAGTTTTTTCTCATTGCAGGATGTGCAGAGTCTGTCAGAGGAAAAAGGTTAGATGGCAGATTTTTTTCATAGAGGCGTTCTTGTATGAGCTAGGAATTCCATGATAAGAGAATACATTTGGTCTTTATCAATCAACGAACAATCACACATCAGTGTAAATAAAGTCAAGTTTGCATATAGTAATGATGGATGGGTTGTGGGATACATGGTGGATAATGTTATTCTACCATATTGCAGTTACTGTTTCAGATCTGAACTCATTTATCTCTTATTTGATTTCAGAAGAAATAATGCAGGTGACAGAGAGAAGGCACTACAAGTTATGCTTCAAGTCCTGCAGACATGTGATCACCCTGCTCCAGATATGTTTTGCTTATGTGGGAGGATCTACAAGGATATGTTTCTTGATTCTGACTGTAAAGATACCAATAGTCGAGATCATGCCATTGAATGGTAACAGAAAAAAAATAAAAATATCTATTTAAAACGTTTTCAGACTTTTACCTCTGGTTATGAAAAGCAGGACTGTAAGGATTAGAAGATCAGTTGTTCTATGTATCTCTTTTTTCCAAGGTCCTGTTTGAGTAATTGGTTTACTAAGCACCAGATCTTTGGATATGTGTTTCCTTGGTTCACTCTATAGGCTACATGAATATAGAATGATACACTTAGTTTATTGGGGGGATGATGATTCACCCATGTCTTTGTAGATAAAATATACAATTAATCTGCTTCAAGGCCAAAATGAAGCACAACTCAGATCATGGGACTTACGTTGGTCTTCTGTGCAAAGATGGTTTCCACACTGGATCCTCAGGAAATGCAGTGATAAGGAAAAATATTGATAAACTGCAGTATGAATTTTCTTAAGACAGTAAGGCATGAATGTGCACACAGGTTCTCACTGACATACTGTACGCATAAGTACATTTGTGTAATCATATCAGCTACAATAATGTTAGCAGTGTGGGTTTGTACTGTAACCGTGAAATACTGCCCTTTCTCTCTTCCCCCCACAAATCACCTCAGCGTAGTTAGTGCAGCATAGATGGATAGTAGGGAACTTACAGGCTTCGGATCGATCTCTTCAGCCCATACCAGCTAGTGGCGAGCATTCAGCCTTTGTCAGCTGTGTCTCAGTTACCTTTAGTGAATGTGAAGCTTTAAAAACAAAGGGTTTGGAGCCTTTTTTAAAAACTTGCACTGAAGACTAATATTTTCATTGCCTTTCTCATATGAACAATATAATGAAATTAGATTCTATTGCATTTAAGTTGTTTTGCAGTAACTAGCTTGTTTTATTTTCACAAAACTGTGCTGAGTTTGGAGAAGTCTGGAGAAGAGGAGGCTGAGGGGAGACCTCATCGCTCTCTACAACTACCTGAAAGGGGGTTGTGGCAATGTGGGTGTTGGTCTCTTCTCCCAAGTAACTAGTGATAGGACGAGAGGAGATAGCCTCAGGTTGTGCCAGGGGAGGTTTGGACTGGATATTAGGAAAAAATTCTTTACTGAAAGAGTTGGTCAAACATTGGCACAGGCTGCCCAGGGAGGTGGTGGAGTCACCATCACTGGAAGTGTTCAAAAAATGTGGACATGGCGCTTCAGGACATGGTTTAGGGGGCATGGTGATGTTGGGTTAACGGTTGGACTTGATGATCTTGAAGGTCCTTTCCAACCTTAATGATTCTTTGATTCTGTGAAAGTGGCAGGCCATAAAACTAAGCAGAAGTGTTTCTTTCTCACCGTGAGACAAACAGCTACTATCTTTCAAGTGCTTTTTGCAAAGAGTGCCATTGGTACCAATTAGCCATATAGTGCTTACAGTAAATTAATAGCTTAAAATACCTACCAAAACTTTTCAGTATTTCTGTTCTTCTGTACAGTGAGATGTGAGCTCTTGACTCTTCCCTGCAGGTATCGTAAAGGATTTGAACTCCAGTCAACTCTGTATTCTGGAATTAACCTTGCAGTTTTGCTACTTGTTGCAGGACAACAGTTTGAAAGCTCAATGGAACTGAGAAAAATAGGTAAATATACACACACAGTGGCACAGACAAGTTTTCTGCCTCTCTCCCTATGAAGGAAACAAAATGCTTATAGTGAGAGTTTGCAGAGACAAGAAAGGCCCTTCAGGCTTTTTAGTGGTGGGTCCTGGATGGCTGGCTAAAACACAGGGATCTTGAAGGGCCTTTTTTTCTCCTTGTTGCCTTGGAGAAGCTTTCTAGTAACTTGGCCCAGAAGGTCCCAGAGATGGGAGAGGAACAAGGAAGGACCAGCTTCAGCACCATCTGTCAACTGCCTTTACACCACCACAGCGATTGTCCCATTACCTGGCCAACAGGGGACAAAGACAGGAAGTGACAGAGTGTGGCCCAGCTCTCCTCAGGGATACCAGGGAAGGATCCACGGGGTTTCTGTTGTCCTTGAACTGAGAGATACACAGGAATTATTGACTGAAAGGATCTGCCAGGACAGTAACTTGTCTACCTAGATTCACATCTTCCATGGACGTGCTAACTAAACCCCACCACTATACGTCTATAAAGAAATCATATGACAGAAACAGATATACAGTTCTTCCTGGAAAGATAATAGTTGAAAACTATATTTGAAATCAGATTCTGTCTGAAATGCATACTTGAACCTTAAAGGGGAAGAATGCAAAGGTGGCTTTAAATCATTCCACTGACCTTACTCTGGGGTGGACTTGTGTAAGCCTCTAGCCATTGATCTTTTGCAGTAGATGCAGATCTCGAGGACACAGGAGGTGCACAGCTTACACTGAGGATCAGGAGGCAGATAGCCCAGGCAGATAGCACAAGAGGTTTTTCAACACTGTGTGTGGTAGGAGCTCTGACTGTCTGAACTGTATTGAGGATGTTACTTTCAGGCCTAGTCTCTGTTTTGGGCAATGGTTTTTTTGGGAGGGGAAAACTTGTTCCACTTTATTTTTATCACTAATGCTTAATCAAATATTATTAGTCTTTTGCTGATAGACTTATCAGTAAAAAACACTTATTAGTGTTTTACTGATAGAAAAATGTGGTTTTAATTGACATTTTACAGGTGTACGGTTAAACAGTTTATTGGGAAGAAAAGGAAGCCTAGAAAAAATGAACAATTACTGGGACGTGGGACAGTTCTTCAGTGTGAGCATGCTGGCTAATGATGTTGGTAAAGCAGTACAAGCAGCAGAGAAACTTTTTAAGCTGAAACCTCCAGTGTGGTATGTGGCAGAAGGCTGTAGCTCACCCAACTATGGGGAAATAGACAAATTTAAAAAATCCTGTACTCACTTTGACAACTTAACTGGATTTTTTTCATCTTTGATTGTTTGTAACTCTGACTTTATATTTTGTTCTTTTATTCTGGGAAGGAAGGGGGAAGGTAAGAAGGTTACCCGTCATTGTTGGGTTTATATCCCATTGAAGCACATCTTTAATAAGAAAGAATTTGGAAATTAGTGACGATACCCTGTGAAACAGTTGTGAAAAGATTGTGAAACCATTCTTTTCAGAGTTTAGCTAGCTGCTGCTTCCCCTCCCCGCCATCTTCTACCTCATAATATCCTATCTAATCAGCATGTAACTACTCACGTAACTGTACCCTTTTGCAAGAAGATACTGTTTGTGAACATCCATGTGAGCATATGACTTAAGGTTTAGACTAAACTTGCTATTCTTTCCAGAAATCTGTAAAAATCAACACAATCATTTCCATTATTGTAGCTTTTAAAGTACATTTAATTTTGCAGTTAATTTTTTGGGTGTATAAGTTAATTAAGCGGGTTTAGAATCTGGTCAAATTTTGTTTTCTCTCTGTTAACTCACTAATTTGATACATTCTAGGTACTTGAAATCATTAGTTCAGAATCTGATGTTAATTCAACGTTTCAAGAAACTCACCATAGAACATTCTCCTAGACAAGAAAGATTGACTTTCTGGCTAGATATAATTTTTGAGGCAACGAAAGAAACAACTAATGGCCTGAGATTTCCAGTAAGATGTTCTGTCCAAACAAGTTTTGTATTTCTTATGTTTCTGGATAGGATATAACAATAATTGGAAGACTTTAAACACAATACTTATGTACTTAACTGCCTGTTATTTCATTGCATGAACCAAAACCCTGTATTCTGCTAATCTTTACTCTATAAAAAACATGTAACCCACCACCCTGAAAGCATTCTAAGAAATACTTTTAAGTCTTCTACAACAAATCATGATGATACTGTTTTGTTGTACATAGGAACACAGCCTCTTCCTGCCTTGTCTTGCCCTTCTCTCTCCCGCTGGAAAATTTTAGGCCTTACTTTGAGATTACCCATTGTCTGTGTCAGAGCATCTGAAGATACTGTTGTGTATCAGCTGCAGGTTTTTTAAGGAAAAACGTTGTCTCTCTTCAGGTTTTGGTGATAGAACCAACTAAAGTCTACCAGCCTGCATATGTTTCAATCAACAATGAAGCAGACGAGAGCTCTCTTTCTTTGTGGCATGTCTCTCCCACTGAAATGGTAAAACTACCAACAGATGTGTTTCATGTATTCTGACTTACTGTGCTTAAAGTCACTTTTTTACATGTAGGTTTTGGAGCACTGTACAATAATTTAAAGTTTGCTACATTTGAAGCACAAGCCTCAATATATCTTTCGTGCAGATATGAATGTTGACTTTTTCCAGAGAAAGTAAAAGGAGGGACTACAATTAGAACTCAAGTGGTTTTGACCTCTAGTTCAGATTTCGCTTACCTTGACCATGTGTTTTAGAAGCACTTGGATTATTTGGTCTGCTCATAATATTTCTCATTAGAACTGTGTGATTTTTATTAAGATGCAGCTCAAAGCTAGATCAAAAGTAAAGATAAAGCCCAGTATTGTGTTTAATGTTTTAGACATTTTAAAGCTTTACAATTATAAGATTAGAAACTAGAAAAAATAGCAGCCTGTGACAAATAAGTGTCAAGAGATTAAATATTTGATGGCTTGGATTATTGGATAAGACACAGGAGATTGGGAAAGGACTAGGCACAGTTATGGACAATGTAATCTCTTGAAAGTGAGAAATCATTTCAGTTTCACATTGAAAGACTTGAAATCTAGAATCTAATTCACTACCCCTTCTTAATATCAGAATTATGTAGGTGGAGAATAGACTAAAAATATAAAGAGGCAAAGTGTGGAAAAGTAGCATGTTACAGCAAGAGAAGACCACATAATTATCTGCATGTTCTACTTCACTGAATGTGTCTGACAGAACTTTGCTTTACGGAACAAATTGTTGCTGCATATCTGGTCATGCTAAATAAGATCCAGCTATCAGCTAGAGATTTATGGAGGGCTACGGTCCTAGGCACAGGCTGTCCTTCCTCTGTTTTGCCTCCAGTGTCCTCCCTGGGTAAAAGCTGTTGGCTCAATATCTTTTAGGAAGACCTATGAAGTTTCCTTTCCCTTTGAGCCCAGATAAGAGTAAGGTATAGTCTGCTTTGTGTTTAATATGAAATGTTGATGTATTGAGTCAAAACATAATGCTTGGTAAGTTGTACTTCAAGATATATTCTTCAAATTTAATTTTACCTGAGGAAATGTGACCTTTACTTCCACCCTGTGCTATTTATGTTGATTTTTCCTCAAGTGAGTAAAACAGCAATGTACAGCCTGCCTTTACCTATACATCAATCTTACTTGAAATGTGGGGGGCAAGAAAGAAAGGACGGACAACAGACATGTTGGAAAAACTTTATTTTGCTTACCATGCTCTGACTTTGCTTTCAATAGTAAGTCAAGGTTAAACTGTGGTTGATTGTAGTTCTTTTTTCTTTACAGAAGCAGATTCACGAATGGAATTTTACAGCTTCTTCCATTAGGGGAATAAGGTTGGTATGTTAGAAAACAGTTGGGGTTTTGTTCAAGTTTTCATTTCCCTGGATTCAGCCTTAAATCTCTGCTTTGCATCGCCTATTATGAAATTGCCTATATTGTTCCGTCCAACCTGCCTTGAAATGTCAACACAGAGGAGTTTGGCTTTCCATGCATGGGCAGAGCTGTACACTTCTCATAGGAACAATCATCTAAGGCGGGGGTATGGGTGTGTGTATTTTCTGGTGGACTTCCCTGTTTTCAAATTTGTACCTGCTTTTTGTATATTTTTCTGATTTTTTCAGTGAATTTATTGCCATCTCTGCATGCAAAAACATGGAGGGCAGAAGGAAGGAAGAGCCCTTAGCTATTCTTGCTTCCTTCCATAAGTGAAAGAGCAGTTTGTCTGTTTTTCTTTAACAAAAGGAAACCATGGTATCTGTTTTCTGTTTGGAATTTAGAAACACTTCTGATATGGCTCTATCTAAAAACCTACTAGCTAAACCTTGGATTATTAGAGAAGTGTTAAATGAGGCATGAACATAGCTTGTGCTAAGGAAAGAATTCTTGAATTCTGGAGGAATTCTGGAGGAATTCTGAAGGAATAGCTGGAAGGAGACAGCTATTCTCAAGGACTAGCCTTTAAATAGTTAAAGTAGTTCAATTTTGTGATGCCTAGATCAGTGGAAACACTAGTCACAAGTAAATGGGTCCAAACATTAGATCTGAATATTGTATAGAAAGAACAGGATTTTTCAGAGAATGGAAAGGATAGAAAAGAATCACATTTGGTGTTAACAACTGCAAAATACATGACTACATTTAGAAGCTAGCTTAAGATATATAAGTTGGGATACTTCACTGCCAGAAAGGGGAGAGGCAGAGCACCAGGACAGAAAACAAAATGAAACCTAACTGTACGCCTGGTAGTGTGTCTATGGCATTCTTACTCTCTGTCTGTGTTATGAGGCTGTAGCTAAGAACCAGAGAAGCCATAAGCACAGGGAACACAAGGCGGGCTTTTGCCTTCTGTCTGTGTTTGTGAGTCACTAGGTTGGTGGATCTGGCCTTTCTAGGGATGTAAATGGCTGGGGTCGCTTGTGTGACTGCATAAGCTTAAGCGCTTGAAAAAGCTTCTGATTCAAGTACAAGCATAAATTCAAATACCTAATGAGTTCTATAGTTCTCAAAGTAGAGGGCTTCTGGGCTGTGGTTTTGACCCATAAGCACCTAAGGTTTAGGTCCCAAGTTTATCTTCTCTGAACTTGTGTAATTTGTGTAAGCAAATAAGCTCAGTGAAAAAGTTTTTCTCTGAATAAGCTGAGTGGTGATTCCTACGAAATCCTACGGATGTGGATTTCAACATAGTTTCTACCATAACTTCAGTATTTTCTTCTCAAAGAAGCAGGTTTTGGTTTAAATTAATTTGATGTGATATTTTATTCTACTGCTCCAATGCAATGTGAGTGGATGTGAAGTCATTACTGAAGCCTGTGGAGCTGACTGAGCATAACTCAGCATAACGTTTCTGAAACATAATAATTACCTTCAGTCAACGCATTGCACAGACATTAGTCTTTGAGAACGATAATTTTTAATTAAATGGAAGCAAACCATTAATTTGCTTTGATTCTTAATCACTGCTGGGGATTACAAAGCTCAAAGAGGCAATCTTTTTAAACTTAGTGGAATTAGATGTTAGATGTGACAGCTTACAATTGCTATACATTTGAAATTGCTATAGTTTTACTAAAAAAAAAATTAGTGGTCTCAGTTAACTTATACTCTGTCAAAACCCTTAACTTGTATTTATTCTAACCAGCTCATCTTATATAACATATGTGTTAAACTGTTTATAATACAGTATTATAATACAGTATAATACAGTATTGTTACTTAGACACTGTCTTGTCTTATGTTTGCCCTTGGAAGAATCAGTCTTGTCAGGTAAGTGTTAATCTGCCTTGCTAGACTAGAAATTGGTGTACCGCAACAAAGCTACAGAATGGCATAATGTATTTTCACATATTTCTGAAAAAATTGTCTGGCAAAATTCTAGATTTTTGGAACATTTGTTCATGTAGCCCTTAATGATGCTACAGCAAGTTTTTCTTGCAACATTCTGCAACTTTACTATAGTCTACTGTCATGTATTTTAACTAACTGGCTCAACAGAGGCTAAGCAAAATCTGAGAGTTTGACTAAACAGATCAGGCAAGAATCTAATCAATTTTATTAATTTAATGTGCAAAAATTATGAGCATACTTTAACAAGCATAACAGCGTGACATTTATGTAGAATAATACTGAAATGTAAGTGTTTGGAATAAGAGATTAATTCATAGATTTACTTTCTTATTGATACTATGTTTTATGGTCTCTTCACTTTCCACTTCAGTGCATTTAGATGCGATACATATGACACTGGCAAGACACAATATGCAATAAATAATCATTTTGTCAGAATTATTGCTGCAGTTTCTAGTAAATATTGATTATCCCGAAACTTGTTTATCAGTATTAAAGCCATGAAAAGTATATACTGTGAAGGATCTGCTACACTGTAGGTATCTCCCAGTTCAGTTTTACTGTAGGAGTAATGGAATTATAAAAACCAGAAGTAGTTGTCAAGCTTAAAAGAAAGGTTTGCTAGATTAATGTCAAAGAAATTAACTTTCTATAGAGGTGCCATCAAATACCAAGAAGTTGGACAGAACTGTGTAAAAATGGAAGGGGAAATGAACAACAAACCAGCCTCAAACCACTTCAGATAAACAAGTATTTCACCAAAGTAAGCAGTAGCTTAATCATTTATCAAATTGGAGATGGGATTATAGAATATATAAATAAACTCAAAGCTTCTAATTGTAAGGAAAATAAATATAATTGCATACTGCTTCTCTGAGGTAATTAACCATGAAAAACATGTTTGCAAAGTGTTTGTAATTCAGAAAAATTAACTCCTCCTTGCTCTATTTCTTCTAATAGTTACATCCAAAATAATATTTTCTTAATGTGAATTTTATAGCATTTCCAAGTTTGATGAACGATGTTGTTTTCTTTATGTCCATGACAACTCTGACGACTTTCAAATCTACTTTTCTACAGAAAACCAATGTAGTAGGTGAGTTCCGTTTATGTGGGTATTGCATGTGAGATCTATGTCCTAAATAGAATTGATTTCCTAAAGATTGAAAGCTGACATTTTTGCTTGAGAAATTAGTTATTTTTTCACTTCCATTTTTTCTTGATGAAGAAGCAATGAGCTAAACTCATTGATGTTTAAGGTGATGGGAGCAACATCCCGTTACACTTGTTGGCTGATTCTGATCTGTTTACCTACAAGTCATTAGGTCTGAGAGGCTTAAGCAGCTTATTCTAATTTATAACTATTATCATCTTTTTCTGTGTCTTGGCCATGTCATATAAGGTACTATGTTGGTTCAGATTCCCTTATGTACCTGATCAGTTTGATTTAAGTAAGAGCAACTAGATGTAATAGAAATTTCTAGCTTGCATTGTCACAGCTACCTGTTACGGTTTGCGCCTGTATTCAAATATTTCCCGATGATCTGTTGTTGCTAAACAATCAGCATGCTAACAGAATTTTAGGCCTAAATCTTTGCAGACCAAATTCTTTCTGGGGACTGATACTTGGTATATAAACCTTCTGAATGAAGTAGGAGTGATGTGTTAATACACTTAGTATTTGGGGGTCAGTGGTATATTTATTTTTCTTGCAATAATTATTATTTGTGTGTTATATGGAATAAATTCAGGTTAAAGAAAATTATTAGCTCTGCAAAGTGCAGTTCATGAAAGATAGGAAACACTGAAATTAATGTTACCTGCTCAGCCTTAATTTGGCATCACAATTTGTGTGTTACAAAACATAATCACATTTTTATGCCTTATTCAGTGCACAACAGGAGCCTGTTCTAGAGATATGTGTCTATTAGACAGTGAAAGAGATGTGAATGTTTTATAATAATTTTTAATAATTGTAACCATTTGTTATGGGATTTGTAAAAAAGTGAGTTGCTCAGGCAGGAAACTGCAGGAAAAGATGGTCTTGTACTTAAGGATGTCTATCCCAGAGAACTAGGTGAAATGAGTTAAAACTTTTTTTTTTAACATAAAACATGATATTACTTTTATGTTCTTGGCTTTCTGGATGCCTGACTAGAAACCGCAAAATCTGATTTTCAGAAATACTGAGTAATCACACTTGCAATCAAAGTCCATAGAAACGTTTAAATTAAACTGAAGGTTAAATTTAAGAACTCTCATCACTACACAGAAGGAGAACCACCCAATATGATGTCACAAATTTAGCACTGCTGAATGGAACCATTGAAAATCAATACTTCATTTTTTAATATCTCAACTTTTTCTCTAATTACATTTGTAAAGAGAAGACCATGCTAAGCACTTTCTATCAGTGTACAGCAAAAATATTTGAGTTGGATCTACCAAGATTTTACTACGCAGTTACAATAATAAGCAAGTATTGGGTTCTGCTACAGCAAATAAAATAATTTTAGAAATAATTAGGAAATAATTAGGCTGTGAGTTTGATGTTCTTCCTCATTTAAAATAGGATAAATATGGAGAACGTAAGTAATGAAAGAAACCTATGAACATACTGGTGAGTTTATTAGCTTGAAAGCAAAGCCCACCTTACAAAGAATCTGTTTAATCTCCTTCCAAAAGGATATTTTTCCTTGATCCTGTGCTATTTATTGCTTTTTTAGATTCTGTGGGTTGGTGAAAGAAATTTTGTCTGATGCAGTTGGCAGTACTTTGGAATTAGAAGGAGAAATAGATGGAGACACATTGGAGGTATGTCACAGATAAAAGATTCAAGAACTCTGAAACTTGTTCTCCATCTTCCCTGCACTTTCATATCAGTATGCTAGAAAGATAATAAATAGCATTTAAACTCCTTAATTGTATATGAAATTTCGACTACAAAACTATTTGTACACGAGTTGCATTAATTTGAAAAAACCCACAATTTTAATCAAGTGAGACTGTTACTACTGTAAACTGTATAAATCCCTAATGAAGGGTGTTACTGATCTTGTATTTATGTTGCAAACAATCTATAGGTGAGAATCATCTGATATCAGCTGGTTTAAGTGGATGAAAAAGATAAGATATTAAATAAATACTAGGAAAAGCCATTTAGCAAAGGGACTTCAGTTTTTCTAGCTGGTACCTGATGCTATTACTATTCCAGGTAATTTCATTTGACAAGCTTTTTCTGTCACAGAGATTTGCAGATATTTAGGATCAAATTATCTATTGTGCTTTTTACTTATTACTGAAACATCCATGTTAGGACCTAGTAGCTGTAGACTTTCTTTATAATCAGTACAGGGGGAAAAAAAAAACAAACCCAAACTTGGAAAGGGTTATTGACATTTTATGTGGTCTTAGGTTAGGGTAGATGAATCCATGTCTTCGTAAGACACACTGCCTTGTAGCAAATGTCCGGATTTGCAGCACTAAATGCATATCCTGTACTTCTGTTTATTTGGCTTGAAATCTGAAAAGCCATCATAAGGTTGTAACTTTTATTTGTCTTCAGGCAAATTCAGTCAATCCAATTAATGAGTGAAAAAAACATGCTGTGGTCTGTTTGAGCTGGGTATCTTTCTTACCGTGTCTCATTCCAGCAATTCTCTTAGGTTTATGATTCAGAGCTGCTCTTAAATGAACCTTTTGTAGTGCCTGTGGTTTCAGAAGAGGGTTAAGAAAGTAGAAGACCCTCTACTGTACCGTTGAATGTAATTGTGTATGGTTGGGAATATGAGTTTTTGCACTGAAGTTTGTGCATAGTTGCCACAGAATTCTCTCCTTAAGTGAAAAGGACAAGATAAGCACATCTCTTAAGCCCAGCTTAATACATACATCTGTGGTCTTGGCATAGGATCAGAGCTTTGCCATGGCACAGTATTATCTATAGCTGCAGATTTTACATTGCCTACTTACATACTTAGGTAATAGCATAGCAGACACTTAATATCTTTCTGCAGCCTGAGATCTTGCATTTAAGAAGAGACAACATGGAAAATGCAGCTTTGTGTGGACTTGACAAGCACAGAGAAAGCAGAAGTTCTTACTGTTAATAAAACAACTGTTTATATTTGGGGAAGAGGAAGAAATAACCTTGAGCACAGTTTGGGGGAAGAAAGTCTGATTTCAGTCAGAATTCTTATGAGAACGTTGTCCCAAGGTGTTGTATGTTTTGGATTGTGGTTTATTTGAAAACAACTACAGTTTGGTTCTACAGCTAACAAGGATTTGGAAGGAGAGTGAGTGTGGCAGTCCTTTCTACCGTAGGGTATTCTCTTCCGGATATTGATATTGAAGAAGTTCCTATCACTTTAAGAGTACCTGCTGTACCTCAAATAAGATATCCTAGAGATCAGACTCTGCCCTACCACGTTCATACAGAAGGTCAGCTATGAACACTTGTTTACTCATACCTAATGCTTGAATTGCACATCCAGTGGATCACATTTGCAGACTTTTGGCAACTAGCAGTGATTTATTCAATCTTTATAGCTGATAGAAGGAGAGAAGGCAAATGTAAAGTGGGATCAAGTATATACAAGTCAATTAAACTGTCTATTAACTGGCATTGAATTATAAATCTCAACGATTTTCATGTGTTGTGGGACGCAGGGAACACAAGTTTCTCCACAGTAATTATAGAGCTGGCTTAGAACCAGTCTGTTGCAGATAGGGTTGCTGTCAATCTTAAATTCTGCAATGTGACTGCTGTCTTTTTTCTGCACAGCTTTATGTCACATGATAGGTGTGAAAGCTGGATATGCTCCTACCAAAGAACCTGACAAGTTTTACATATGGCGTTTTGGGTCAATTATGCCTATCATATAACAAGATTATGTTATGAACCGTGAAGTGCTGTAACACGGAAAGTGGAACTGTACTAAAGCTGTGCTAACTCAAGTTTAGTTCCACTGAGCAGAATATGCTGTTAGGATAAACGACAGACGTTTTTTCTTTAGCACCTTCCGTACAGCAGCATGAAACTTGCCATCTTCGCTGAGGTGAAGGGGGGGGCATGTCAGTGACAGATGAACATTGCAAAACCAGAGCTGCAGTACAAACGGGGAAGATACTTCAACGAAATAGATCTCAAGGCTGCATTCTGTATGAGAGAGTCTTACTGGATAAAGCAGAAAAAGTGGTCATTGGCAAAAATGTTAATAGTTATGGCCATTGTAAAAAGGTTTGGGTTTTTTTTTTAATAGAGAATTCCTGTGAAGCCACAGAGAATACCCTGCAGTTTTCCCATATGGGACATCCTCTTGAATTTGGGAAGATACTAGGGGAGGTCTGTGTACTGCTGACAATATCTGAGGCTATGAAACTGTCCAATTCCTGTCTTAACTCTTTGCAAAAGTACTTTTTCAATACCTTTTATCAGTTCCCTGATGTAAATTCTGTAAGAATTCTTCTTCTGTAAGAAATTTGGTTTTATTTAGTGTCTGGGATGTATTTCATTTAGCATCACTCATCAAAGGGCTTTTTCACTGACCTTTATATCAGGACAGCTCTGTGATAAGATCACCATATGGGACAAGACCGTGAAGTGGCGTAAATTCATAGAATCAGAGTATAGTTTGGGTTGGAAGGGACTTTTAAAGGTCATCTACTCCAACCGCCCTGTAACGAGCAGGGACATCTTCAACTAGATTAGTGTAGCTTTACTGAAGTCTGTGAACCAGCAGTGACTTATTCAGCTGGCTGTATGACCCAGCATGTTTCAGCAGCAGTGGAAACCACCACTTCATATATTTAATCATTCTCTGAGAAGATGAAAATCCACCAGCTTTGGTGGATGAAAAGCTGGACATGAGCCAGCAATGTGCAGTAGCACTAGTCCTGCATCCAGCTCTGGAGCCCTCAGCACAGGAAAGATGTGGACCTGTTAGAGCAGGTCCACAGGAGGGCCACCAAAATGGTCAGAGGGATGGAACACCTCTCCTGTGAGGACAGGCTGAGAGAGTTGGGGTTGTTCTGCCTGGAGAAGAGAAGGCTCCGGGGAGACCTTATGGCAGCCTCCCAATACTTAAAGGGGGCTTATAAGAAAGATGGGGACAGACTTTTTAGCAGGGCCTGTAGCGATAGGACAAGGGGTAATGGTTGTAAACTAAAAGAGGGTAGATTCAGACTAAATTTAAGGAAATTGTTCACGATGAGGGTGGTGAAAGACTGGCACAGGTTGCCCGGAGAGGTGGTAGATGCCCCATCCCTGGAAACCTTCAAGGTCAGGCTGGATGGGACTCTGAGCAACCTGATGTAGTTAAAGATGTCCCTGCTCACTGCAGGGAGGTTGGAATAGATGGCCTTTACAGGTCCCTTCCAACCCAAACTATTCTCTGATTCTATGATTCTAAAATAAGCATTTTTTTTTTGCCTTTTGGAAAAGCTCATAATGAGGGGAATATGTCAGAAATTAATTTTGTTGTGGCTAAGCTCAAATGAGAGCTTAGGGTCTTAAAACGGTGTCCACCCGCTGTAATGAGAATGACACTTTTATCTATTTATTAAACCATTGGTTTCAAAATTACAGTTTATGTTCCATACATTTACATGTTCTGAAGGCTCTGTCAGTAATTTTTAGAGATAACACCTGAATGTGTTATTTTGACAGCAGTGTTTAATTAAATTTGGTTTAATGCTGTGTTCCTTGTTTGGGTGAATGCATTTGGAAGTTGGTTGGGGAAGATTGTTTAGTGAAGCAAGTAACAGAAATTTTACAAGTTGTATAATGCACTGGGCCGGTTGGTAACTTACTGTGCTACAGCTGTACTGCAGTAACTACTCTGTCCTGTACTAACTCAGTATAGTACATAACTGTTGTTAAAGCTCTCTGTAATGTCAAATGTTAATGATAACAATTTCTGTGCTGCTTTGTTTATCTTTTCTGCTTGCAGTATGAATATGATTATGATGAGAATGGTGACAGGGTAGTTCTAGGGAAAGGTACTTATGGAATAGTTTATGCTGGAAGAGACCTTAGCAATCAGGTCCGAATAGCCATCAAAGAAATACCCGAGAAAGACAGCAGGTAAGACCTAGCTTATTGTTATATATATATACATTGCTAATGAAACTGCAGTTGTTTGCTGAAAACTTTGCTTCTCTTAGCACGTATTCCTATGTGGTTAGTTTATAAAATCCCAGTATACTAAAATTCAATTGTTATTTCCCGCTAGTATTCAACAGTACCCTTTTGAGAATGACTTCTTTTTTTTGAAACATACATGATATATATAATAAATAATATAGTTTGATAATCTATATGTATATCATTAATTCTAGAATCAGACATATTTTGGTTTTAAGTTGCAGTTGTATCTCATTTGTATTATTTTTGGGGAGGCAAAAAAACATAAAAGGAGTTTCGAAGGCAAAGACAGTACTATATAATGATACAGAGGAAAGGCATGTATAAATTCTTTGAGGGCATGTTTCTCCTTCAGGGTTCCTCTGAGATCTACCTCTCTACTTTTTCTGAATAGGCAGCCAGTCACACTGCATTTGAAGGTCATGGACAAGATGTTTGCTGAGAATTGGACCAGTGTCACCAAAATCCATTCTGTTTGCAAACTTGCATTTAAGTGTAGCCTAGAACATCCTCCTGCATCGTGAGATACTCCTTGATTTTTTTTTTGTTTGTTTGTTTTTAATAGGTATTCTCAACCTCTTCATGAAGAAATAGCACTGCATAAATATTTAAAGCATCGGAACATTGTCCAGTATCTTGGATCTGTTTCAGAAGATGGATACATTAAGATTTTTATGGAGCAGGTGCCAGGAGGTTTGTATCATTCTGAGCTTAGTCTCTGAAATCAGAAGCAGTTTGGAGTCTAAACTTAGTGAAAACAAATAGATGTGCACTTAGTATGTTTGTGCACTGTGTGTGGCTTTTCCGTTCAGACATTAACTACAGGTGGCATTCTACTCATATAAAGAACAGATTTGAAATGTACAGGACCCAGTACCTTCTCCTCTTTCTGTAATAATTATAAATCTAGAGAAAAATAATTTAAAGTATTTGGTGTCAAATATTTATGTGCTATAAAATAGTGGAGTTAGATCTGTATAGTCCATTTAGCCTGAGCATCTGAATGATAACTGGAGCTTTGATGATAAGCTTCTGTTGAGCAGTTAAGTATTATTTTGTAACTGAGCAATTAAGTAGTATTTTGTAAGTGCTATATACAAAGCACTGCTATTTCCTAGGTAGGTTAGAGATAAAAGTTATATGCTTCCCTCGCTCATAATTTTCAGTTTTGCTTCTCTAGCCTTCTCTACATTTTAAGATGTGAAGTCCCTTTTTACTCTTTGTAGGTTATATTTCTGTCTCCCTTTTGCTATTTGCTCTTCAGTGTCAAGTATATGTCAGAATGAGTGTTAAATCCTTGTATAAATATAATTTGCAAAATAAAAACAGAAATAAGAAAACCAGGAAAAAAAGTTCAGGTTTTCTAGGGAAGGTCCAGACACAAACATTCAAAGTGTAATTAAACACATCTGGGGCATAGGGAAGTTCATTATTTTTTGAATTCCCATGACCTTCTCACCTGAAAACTGAGACATTCTGACATGTATGATGCATGCAGATGTGATGAGTTTACACCAACACTTCCACTTGTTTTCCTGCACTTGTTAAAAGCATCAACTGATGTTGTTTACATACCTTTTTTTTTCCTGTTCCTATATGCACAGTAGAGTATGCTGTGTTTAGTTGCCAATGTCAATATTATTGAACCAATTCAGGTATTTTAAACTCTGCAGACAGTCTTAAAAAGGAACCAACTGTTCAGATGATGCAAGATTCTTTGAGGAAACTTGACTTTAGAAAGTTTTTGGTGTGGACTGAAAATCCCTTTCACTGAATTTGTCTGGCATTAAGTAGACCCACTGCACTTCGTTTATTATGAGCAGAAAGAGCAAAACTGTCTTTATTTTTCTTCATGCTTAAAATATTTGTGTCATTTAAAAAAAAGATTAGATTTGTTAGAAGCAGGGGAAGTGTGGATGACCTATCTCCTGCTCTGAACATCCATTACTTGATTTCTTTCAGGAGCTTTCTTTCCTCTGTCTCTGAATATTTGCAGAAGTTAATCCTATATTTGCAAGCAAAGGACTCTTTCCTTTTTTCACCTCCCCGCCTCAAATAAATCAGCTTTTCTTTGCCGTTGCATATGGTTCATGATGTATAGTGTATAATAACATACAGTGTTACCTGGTCTTTATTTCATTAAGGGCTAAATGGTTGCTAGCCCTAGTCTCAACAGTTGTTAGACTGAGGTGAGGAGGTGCATCCAGCCCTGTCATAACATTTATTCCTGTCATGGAAGTGGAAGCTGAGCTTGCAAGAAAGAAATAGCCAGTCAAAAACAGCAGCAAATAATTTGCTTTGAGGGATCTAGAAAGCATTTTGCTTAATTATAGGTCCTGCATTTCTCTTGTATTAGGATATAGAGCAAAGTTGTAATCCAGACTTAAATGTTTCATGTTAATTTGGGTATTTTGCTATCTTGATGCACTTTCTTCTTAACTTGTTAGGCAGCCTCTCAGCTCTCCTAAGATCTAAGTGGGGCCCAATGAAAGAACCTACAATTAAATTTTACACCAAGCAGATTCTGGAAGGCCTTAAGTATCTCCATGAGAACCAGATTGTACACAGAGATATAAAGGTAAATTTTATCTTATTTAATTCAGTTAGTTTTACTCTAACCTGAAGTAGAATTTTTAATAGAATTTCATGGAAGCTTAAACCAAAAGGAAAGAATAAAACCTCTTCTCCCTGGTGCTCCTGGAAAATTCCTTTGTAGAAAGGTATATTACAGAGATAACCACAAACTTGAAGGAGTATTGAGATTGAGATTTGGATCTGTACTCATCTGTCTCCCCTCCTTGCTCCCTCTCTCTCTTTCTCATCCAAACCACAGGGCGATAATGTTTTGGTGAACACCTATAGTGGTGTGGTAAAGATATCTGATTTCGGTACTTCCAAACGGCTGGCAGGAATCAATCCATGCACTGAAACATTTACAGGTAAGACTAATTTAGCAGAGTTTGTAAAGGTTTTTGTGATAGCTTTAGATAGAGTTAGAGCCAAGAGGCTCTTTGGATTTGTGATGGAAACATGATAAGGTCTCTATTTTCAGGGAAGAGTGAATAGGAGTGTGGTCACCAAAAACACAGGCTTGCTATCTCCCCCCCCCGCCCCCTTTTCTTACTTTTTTTTAAAAAAGTACTTTTCTTCCTTTTTTTTAAACTTCTTAAATGTGATGGGGTAGTAGTTTCTCTTCTAAGTGTTTCTCATTAAGTAGCAATTGATTTGTTGCTATTACACCTGCAAATATTTGAATACAGCAACTTTTAAATTTAATAATCTTGCTATCAGTAACTCATGCATGCACACTTTCTTAAGTATGTCTAAAAGTGCAGAAAACCAAACACAAACTTATAAATTCTTTCAGTTTTGAGGCATTAATTATAAAACCCAACCAACTGGCTAACTTGGTGTTATCAGCACTAAAAAGAACAGTTTACATGAAAATACTAGGCTGATACGTTACAGAAAAACTTTCTTATACAACAAGGTAGTAAAACCTTGCAATATTCAGGGAAAACAAAACTTGCTGAGTAACAGCTGAAACTCCAGATGGAAAAATGAAGATACGGTCACATAATTACTCCATTCCTTTACCAGTGGAGAAATAGGTAACATGATGTTTTCCCTTGTTATATGGCCATATGCATAGGCTGATAATCACAAATCACAAGCCTCATCCTGGCCTGCAGTTTCAGTAAGTGGTACACAGACACAGTCATCAGTCATGTGTGTGTAAGACAGAAGAGAACAAGCTCCATTTAAGTTACAATCAAAGCCTCCCATTACCTGTCTGGTGGTGAGTCTGCAGTTCCTCCAGCTTTCTCACAAAGGAAGCCATGAAAATAAAATTATGAAGGTTCTGAAATAACTTACCTTTCTAAGCTTTTTTTACTCATATTAGCAAAGCTTGTAAATTGGAAACTGGCCCAAATATTACATCATGTTCTGAACACGACATATGGTGTCTGCATCAATATCTCATGAGATCAACATCTCCTCAGGTGCAGTCATTTGAAACAAACCTACTTCCTGCAAAGCTTTAAAGATTTTAGTTAGAATCAAATTAAGTTAAGTTAGGAGTTCTTTAAAGAGAAGGAAAAAAAAAACCCCTTATTTGTCCAGTTTGGAATCATAAATGCAGCATTTGAATGTTTTGTTTAAATGAAGAGCTACAAGAAGCATTCTCTTCGTTTTATAGATGCTACCACAGGTAGATACATAAATGACAGTATGTCTGAACAGAGCTAGTTAAATGCTGGTGTCTGAAGAATTCCTTTAAGGAGTTTCACCGTTTTCCAAACAAATTAGTCAATAAATAATTTTTTCATTAATCATCTTGCTTATGCAACTGGATGAATAATTCTGAAATATGTACAGGTGTCTTGTGGTATCTGGAAAAGAATATTTTCAGGTTTTGCCTGCAATGTTTATCCTTGCCATTTTTTAAACTGGTTCATTGCAGTTATACTCCATGGGAAAGAGATGCACTGCCACGTGGTGTGGTGTATAGCTATACTGCGCTTCTCATTTCTGCAGGATCTTTTGGAAACTTTTAAGTATATAAACAGGTTCAGAAAGGTAACAGATGAAGTCAGGGAAGAAGATCCTTTTGTGGCTATTAAAAGTGATAGTCCAAAATTGAATTTTGGCCCAGAAAGTCACTATTATAGCTGATTGCTATTATGTCTGGAACAGTTACTAGAGGAAAATCACTCTGTCTTTGCCTGTGTTTTACATACCTTTTAGTGTGTAGCATCTTTAGCAAATGGTTGTTATTAGAAATGATATACAGAGAAATAGTATCTGAAAAAAAATCACTGTACTGTAATAAAAGGAGTTAAATCTTTCCTTGCGCCCTTCTTTGTTCTCTTGCACGTTGTCTGCCCTGCTTGTGCCTCAGAGGTATAATTTACCATGAGAATAAATATTTTACTTAAGTTATAGTTTTGGATTTAAAATCATAAGCAGGTAGCTATAGCCCAGAGGGTTTTAAAAGCCCTTATAATTTGTTTTGTTCCTCAACTTAGTACATAAACTCTGCAAATTTTAGGCATTAAGTAATACAATCACATGATTGAAGAATCAGACTTCTAGTGGTTTAAACATTATATCCCTCCATTTGGACATGGAGCCTGAGGGCAAAGCTGTGGCTTGAACTTTTGTTCTACAGCAGTCACATTTAATGAACATAGTAATATCCAATCCATTGTATCTTCACCAGATGTCCTTTACTTAATAGTTCACAGACTCACCACAGTGTAATTTTATTGCATTCTTAAGAAGAAAAATAATTTAATTTAAAGATGTCATAACAGAGCTGGTAGGAATTCATGCGGAGAAAGTACCGTAGCGTTTGAAACACTTGGAACATCTGTAGATTTCTGTTGTTGGTGTGGACTGTCTTCCTGTAAAGACCTCTTGCTAACTGTGCTAGTATATGGTTGAATATCAGTCATTCCAAATGGACCATCTTTTATTTCATTTTTATAGTTCCTTTTGTTTATCAGTATTATAACTAGTATTACAGTCAGATTGTCTACAGGCAAACTCTAGAGGCATTCAGATTCATCTGTTAAGGGCCGACTGTAGGCTTAGGCAGGATCTTAATTTGGCAACATGTATAATTTTAAAAGTTTGAATAGATTATTTTTTTCTTTTTTGCTGACCTTGGATATCAGAAATCCTAAGCACATCCAAAATACTTCCTGGAATTGCAGTTTTTGATGGGTTCCCTTATATTTTTAGTTATTGTGTAATTGATTTACCTTGATTACAACCTTGATTGTTTTTGTGTAAAACTGGAGATTGTTTTTTAAAAACATTCGTATCTTTATTATCTTATATTTACAAAAATAGCTTCTTTTCAAACTAACTTTTTGAAATTCCCTGTCACTGGTGTTCTCGTTATAGGGGTAAACATATGAAAAGTTATTCTCATAAAGACTATCTGTCACTTTGCAGGTTTTCATCACAATTTAGTGTCTGCAAAAATTGTTTGACATAATTTTACATTCTGAGGAAGCATTTGGATTATGTGGTGAATATACTTTCAGCAGTTTGAAGCCTTTTATTAGAAAGCGGGGGGGAAGATAGTATCTGTCTAGTTTTCAGTGCTGATATGAGAAATCAAATATTTTGGCTATACAGGTTGCATGTGACAATTTTTGGCTTGCTTAGTGATGTGTTAATTTTCTTCAATTAGAATAAAGACTGTAACACTTGACTGTTCTTTTTATCCTGACTAGGAACCTTGCAGTACATGGCTCCAGAAATCATCGATAAAGGACCACGAGGATACGGTGCACCAGCTGATATCTGGTCACTAGGTTGTACCATTATTGAAATGGCAACAGGCAAACCTCCATTTCATGAACTAGGGGAGCCTCAAGCAGCAATGTTTAAAGTAAATACAGCTTTTTTGCTATAGAGTTTATGAATTTTCAAATACAAACTTAATTTTTAATATTCATTTAATTGGTAATAACCTTTTGTTAAATATGGTGTTTTGCAGCAAAGCCACAGTCTGACCGGTGTTCTTAACTCTCACTGAAGGATCCTTCCTTGTTCTAAGCTGTATTGCTCTAGGGGGTAATTTATTTTTGTGCTGGAAATAGGTCATGACTCAGAGCAGCAACCTGAAAAATGAGTGAAGTCTTATGAAAACTAATATTCTCCATCCTCTTACTTCTATCATCTCCTGTTCTTGGTTTATGATTTCCTTCTTGGCAACCAGTCTTTTCAATAATGACAACCAAGTTATTTTGACTCCTTTTATAAGGCTTCTGCCTGGAGTATCTGTTTGCCTTGTCTTTCGAAGTCCCAGTCTCTGCAACATGGTAGGAAGCTATGGTGGAAGGGGGTGGGACGCTAACTTTCCAGGATTTCTGGTATGTACTCAAGGAGTAAAATACTCTGTATTTTACATCCTAAGTCATTTGGATCAAAGCTACCTCCTCGGTAAGCTGTTGCCTCTAGTAATTTGTTTCTCTTAGTTGTATCTTTTCAAATACACAGATTAACACTTGTGAAGAGAATGCTTCAGATTTGAAAAAAAGTTACTTGTTCTAACTCTAAAACTAGAGTAAAAGTGTAGTGTAAAAGCTATGATGTGATAATGTGTCAAGTATGCAGACTGAAATTTTTGGTTCTTTCACTGGCTTGCAGTAGACCTTTAGTAAAGTACTTAAGTTTTCACTACTGCTTCAGAGTCCTCATTCTTATAATGGAAAAAATGTCATGTCCATAACCCAGCAAGCTGCTTTAAATTATCAGTATTGTTAATTCTTTTGCATATGTGGTTGAAAATCACTGTGTGAGCATTAGTATAATTATTAATGGAACGATGGTAGCAAAATCAGATCTTTATCAATAAGTATAGTAAGCTGGGCTGCAATTCATACTAGATCTGTGAGTTGTCCCACGCAGTATAGCTAAAAGGCAAAGAAAGGTATGGTTATGGGTTTTTACATAGTTATTTCAACAGTATAATATGTCACCTTGGTGCTGTCAACTTGTGACGCTACCTCAAAAGAAGCTGCCTGGGTGAACATGGTGTTCACTAAAGCTTTCCAGAGGGAGCCATGGAAAGAGACTTTTTTCCACATTGCTGTAAATATCAGATATGGTTCTGTCAGCAGATGCCTTTTCATCTTGTGTATCTAGCATGCAGCTGAACTGTTCAGTGAGTTACATGACTTATTTTTCAGCACAGTTTATTGAACTGTCAGAAAGTGCTGGTTCAGCTCTGGGTGCTTGATGAGCTCTGCGGAGGCTCATGAGGTGAGCTCTGGCAGGATTGTGCATGTCCCTATGTCTTGCCCATAAGCACTTCCAGGCCACAGAGCTGTGTTCTGAAGTCTCAGAATTGGCATTTTTAAAAATGCATTTCTTGGCCTTCTTTTTTTGAGGATGTGGCAGAATTTTTAGCATTGTTATTGCAGACTGTGTTAATGTGCTACAGTCAGGTGTTCGTTTTTGTTTTCTGTTTCTTGGCTTTGCTGGGACCTGCTTGGAACTGCCTCTTGCTGGGCACCATAAATTGCAAACTGAGGTTTCTTTTTGCTGTGTAATAAAAGTAAGCAATCTGGAAGCTAGGTTTGAAGCCAGGAATGAAGCAGGTGAACTGGGTAGGCATGTAAAAAGAAGAGAAGCCTGGAAAACTTGGGTTAGTGAACTTTTGAGGTCCCCACCTCCACACGTGCACACCCTGTCATGCACAGGGCAAGTGAGAGGGAAGGTCTGAATGTGGCTGTGCAGTCACAATAGAGATTGCAAATGACCAAAGAGTTGGACAAAGTAGAGAAAAGGGGCTAGAGTGAACCAAGAACTGGAAATAATTCCTGGCTGAGGATACGGTGTGTGGTATTTGATCTGTGAGCATAGTATGTGTGCATCTGGTTCTGTGTGAAAGAAGTGCAAACAAATGACATTCAAGTAAGTCATAGCAAGTAAACGTTGCTACAGAGTTTTTGGATGCTTGCAACAAAACTTATTCCCCTTGAGCCACAGCGTTAAGATAGATCTGAGACATGCATTCAAATTTCCTGGTCCTGGTTTGAACTGTCCTGGGTTTTGTTCAGTGCATAAGGGTATAAGCTGGCACCAGAGCGCATTCAGCTTGTGACAGTGCCCCACTGAAGCTGGCTGTGTGAGCCTGTCCCCAGAGTGTGCGAGGAGGAGTGGGCTGCCCACAGAGATGGGCATGTCAAGAGCAATTGTCAGAGCGCAGCAAGCAGGTGGCTGTCTTCTCCCTCTGCTCCAAAGCAAAAATCCTGCCAGGCTGATGTTTTGAAGTGGTGAAACTATATACCCCATTGATAAAGTGCTGTCCAAAATGTGCATGGTGTTTCACAAATCAGATAAAGATGCTCCTTCAGACAAGGTAAATGTATAGATGTTGTATCCTGCCAGCAGAACATAACATCAATTTATTTATTTTATTTATTCAATTTCTTCATTAAACACATTAATTTAATTGCAGAGGTTAGCAAATTGCATATATTAATGTTACGTGCAGAAAGTACTGAGTTTTGAATGTGCTTAGAGTCATGGTTTGGAAAGGCTTAATGCATTATTAGCATTTTATATTCTGCACTGTCGTTTGAATAGAAGCGCGACTGCTCAGCAGTTTTTGCTTCAGCTTGCATTGAAGCTGAACCACTATTGTGAGTGCATAATGGTGCCACAGTGTGTTAATGCAGCTGTATAATGAGCTTATTTAAACAACTCTTCATTTTAGCAAGCAGCTGGCACTTGTTTAACTGCTGGGCTACTATCTCCCTTGTGGCTGCTATGTTTCTGCTTGTTCTCCAGAGCCTGTTTTATGTAAAGATGCTGAGACTACAAGCCATAATCTTGCCACATACATGTCATACAGTGCACATGCATTACACAACTCTCATTTCAACACATTTATGCTAGATTGGCATTAGAGAATAAGAAGGCAGTGAAGGAGCTGGACAAATCACTAGAGAGCAACCTGTAGAAGCACGTTTTTCATTACTAAAAGAAAAAGTAGGGGGGTCTTGTTAAATCTTTGGGCATCATGTGATTTTTCAGTTAAATAACACTGAAGGGCTAGGGAAGACATCTGGCCTGAGTGCTGGGGGTGGTGACAAGGTCTGGCAAGGTCACTGTGAGCATTCGTACACAGAAATTTGGCAGCGGCAGGAGCAGAACAGGTGCAGGCCCCAGGCAATCAATGCTAGAGGAGGAAGTTATTCTGGTTCCTGGGTATGAATGTGCTGGAAGAGTCAGTAACCGAGAGATGCAGTACTGGGCAGGGGTGATGGGAAGTGTATGCAATAGCTGGAGTGATTTGTAGCTGGTAGGAGAAGCAGCGTTTGAAGCACTTGGTGTGGATAATGTCACAGAATCAGAGAATAGTTTGGGTTGGAAGGGACCTTTAAAGGCCATCTAGTCCAACCCCCCTGCAGTGAGTAGGGACATCTTCAACTAGATCAGGTTGCTCAGAGCCCCATCCAACCTGACCTTGAAGGTTTCCAGGGATGGGGCCCCTCTCTGGGCAACCTGTGCCAGTCTTTCACCACCCTCATTGTAAAAAAA